TCTGGCTCTAGGTGAGTGATCACACCATCGTGATTATCTGGGTCATGAAGATCTTTTTTGTGTAGTTCTTCTTTGTATTCTTGCTTCCTCTTTGTATTATCTTCTGCTTCTATTAGGTCCATACCGTTTCTATCCTTTATTGAGCCCATCTTTGCATGAAATGTTCCCTTGGTATCTCTAATTTTCTTGAAGAGATCTCTAGTCTTTCCCATTCTATTATTTTCCTCTATTTCTTTGCATTGATCACTATGGAAGGCTTTCTTATCTCTTCTTGCTATTCTTTGGAACTCTGTGTTCAAATGGGTATACTTAGCAACTGAAAAACCACAGCAATCATCTGAAGAAATTTACTATCCTCAGTTCAAAAAATAATATAGGAATTATTGCTGTATTTGTTATTTTTAATTGCTATATAATTTGCATACTATAAAATTCAGGTTTTTAAAGCATAAAATTCAGTGGATTATAGGATATTCACAAAGTTGTGTAATCACCACTGCTATCTAGTCTAAGAATGCTTTCATCACCCCAAGAAGAAACCCCAAATCCATTACCAATCACTTCCCATTCCCCTTCTTCCCTTGAATCCCAAGCAATCATCTGCTTTCCATCACTATAAATTTGCCTGTTTGGAAATATCACATAAAAAGAACAATGCATTTGTAGCCTTTTGTGTCTAGCTTCTTTCACTTAGAATAGTATCTTCAAGGTTCATGCCTGTCGTAGAATAGATTGGTACTGAATTCTTTTTATGGTTGAATAATTGTGTTTATCCATTCATCACTAGATGGTTATTTTCACTTTTTTTGTATTAGAAATAATGTTGCCACAGTTAATATTTTTGAACGACTGAAAATAAACTTGAGTTTCTATTTGCAAAGAAAAAAAAAAATAACGTTGCTATGAATATTCATGTACAAGTTTTTATGTGGGCATTTGTTTTCAATTATCAGAACTCTGGGCCATATGCTAACTTTATTTTTAGCTTTTTGAGGAACTGCCAGAATATTTTTTGAAGTAGCTGCATCATTTTACATTCCTACCAGCAATGTATGAGGTTCCAATTTCTCCACATCCTCACCAATGCTTCTTATTATATCTTTATTTTTATTTTTATTATAGGCATGTCACTGTAGTTTTGGTTTGCATTTCTGTAAAGACTAATGATTTGAGTATATTTTTATATGTTTATTAGTCATTTGTATATATCTCCTTTGAAGAAATGTTTTTCAAATTTTTCCAATTTTTTAATTGGGATGCTTGTTTTTTATCGAGTTATAAAAATCTTTATATATTTTGGATAATACTAGATCTTTATCAGATATGTGATATGCAACTATTTCTCCCATTTTGTGGATTGTTTTTCACCTTCTTAATAATATTTTATGAATACAAAAGTTTTTAACTTTCATGAAGTCCAATTTAAATATTTTTTGTTTGCTTGTGCTTTTGGTGTCATATCTAAGAGAAATCACTGCTTAATCCAAGATCATGAAGATTTACACCTCTGTTTTCCTCTAAGAATTTTATAGTTTTAACTCTTACATTTAGATCTTTTATATTTTAACTTTTATATATGGTATGAGGTACCATATCAACTTCACTCTTTTGCATACAGTTATTCAGTTGCTTCTGCTGAAAAGATTATTCTTTCCCCAGTTGAATTATCTAGGCACCATAGGTGAAAAACAATTGACCATAAATATATGGGTTTTAAAATATTTTTCTTTTTGATACCTACTGAAACTATCATAAGATCCTTCTTTCCATATGAAGTATTGTTAGATTTAATTTTGTCTTTACAGTCATGTCTTGGTGAATTGTTCTTTCCACACTATAAATTTGATTTGATATCATTTAGTGTTTCTAAGTGAGATCAATATATCGTTCACTCTTTCAGCGCCATCTTTATCAGGCTTTGTTATCACATTTCTGTAAATTTCATAAAACCAGCTCCATCTCTGTTTATAGTCTGGGAAAATAAAGGGTGTAGAGTGGTTCAAGATCTAAAACGTTTGAGATCCCACGATCCTCTGGAAAGGCTCCCCTTACTCACCCTGATCCTTGTTTGGTGGAGGTCCCAGGTCTCTACAAAATGATAAGTTTAAACCACAAATGAATACTTTCCTGAGCAGAGTTTAAGATATGTTTTAAAAATAAGTCATTATCTTAAGAAAAACTCTGTCCCATCCTTCCTTCATCCATGTCAGCTAAAGTTATCCCCTACATTAGAAACTTGTTTCCCCGTGGTTCTTGTCATCTTTCGTTTTTCCTGAACACCCGTTATTTTTCCCCTGATCTCCAGCTGCTACTATTTAATCCAAAGAAAATACAACCTGTGGAGTTGACATGTTTGCTTTTATAAATACCTTGCATCTGTCTTTATGTTAAAATTTGGCATCTCCGTGTAATGGTTAGAGTGCAGGCTCTGGAGCCAGGCTGCTGAGTATGAAAACTGATTCCGCTGTGAACCAGTCCTATGACCTTGGCAAGGTCTCAGCTTACTCACCTATAGGACAGGACTAATCATAAGACCTACCCCTCACTGGATTGTGGAGAGCATTACATGACTTAATATTCGTAATGTGTTTAGAACAATGTTTGGCCCTTAGAATATCTGTGTTTAACACAAAAATACACTTGTCTTTTAAAAGCTGAAATTCCAGAGCTTAGATACTATGCCTCATTTTATTTCCTTTGCAACTCATTTCTAAATAGAAAAGTTCTCCTCCTTACCAGTGCTCACTCTAGCTCAGCTCCTTCCTCCTAGATTGTCCTTAGAGTCTACCTGCTTACCGCTCCTGCTTAGTCAGTCATGGCTGGCTCTGTGCGACCCTATGGACTACAGCCCGCCATGCTCCTCTGTCCATGGGATTTTCTAGGCAAGAGTACTGGAGTGGGTTGCCATGCCCTCCTCCAGGGGATTTTCCTGATCCAGGGATCAAACCCAGGTCTCCTGCATTGCAGGCAGATTCTTTACCACTGAGCCACTGGGGAAGTCTGCCTGCCTACTGCTGCTGCTGCTGCTAAGTCACTTCAGTCGTGTCCTACTCTGTGTGACCCCATAGATGGTAGCCCACCAGGCTCCGCCGTCTCTGGGATTCTCCAGGCAGGAACACTGGAGTGGGCTGACCTTTCCTTCTCCAATGCATGAAACTGAAAAGTGAAAGTGACGTCGCTCAGTCGTGTCCAACTCTTAGCGACCCCATGGACTGCAGCCTACCAGGCTCCTCTGCCCATGGGATTTTCCAGTAGTGGAGTGGGTTGCCATTGCCTTCTCCGCCTGCCTACTAGACTCCCTCAAACACCACATAGTTCTTCTGATAAGATCTTGACAAAGTTTGAACCATTGTCCTATCCCTTTTTTCTCCCTGAGGATCCTCTAGCCTCTTTCAAAGTGAATTGAGAAAGTCTCTGCCCCTGCCACATCTTGCAAATGGTGCTGATATATCATTCCCGTGGTTGACATCTGTTTCAAAATGACCCCACAGCTCCTGTTGCACTGGGACCTGTAGAGAATGCATCTAACACTAGGCCACATAAAGCACCATAGTAACCACACATGCATAGATGACCACAAATCTATCTCCATCTCATTTAACGTTCTTCCAAGTCCCAGATCCTTCTAACTAGCTCCCTTCCAAAGGTTTCTATTACAAACTGAGCTTATTCAAAAGTGGGCTCATCGGCATCCCAGCAAACCTTATCCTTTGGTGTTCCAAAATAGAACCTACACTCATCAACCACACAGGTGGAAAAGCACAAAACTTGGAAGTCATTGCGGACAACTTCCTCTCACCATCTCATCAAACACTTACCCAAACCTGTGATTCCCAGCTCCTAAGTCTTGTGAACTCACCCTGCCTCCAACTGTTCAACTGCACCCCTTGTCACCAGTGATGTGCTCTCATCTATTCTTGACCCTGCTCACCAGAAGATCTTTCACAGAGGCCAACCTGATTTGCTTAAAATTCCTCAAGAGCTCCTTGCAGTTTCCACAGGAAAAGAAATTAAGTTCCGTCATTTTGGCTCCCAAGTCTTACGTGACCTAACTGCCCATGTGCCTATGAGAGAGGATATGAAGGGACTGTCTTCAGGGGCTGGTCTCTGCATCTGGTCAGGATCCAGTCTCCTCTCACTTACTTGACTCCTCTTTTCTCATTTTTCTTGCACTCTCAGCCTCCCCCTCTCCCCTGGATCATTCCCACTAGCATATAAACTTTCTCTCTCCCCATCTTTGCCTTTTTGCAGTTTCCTTTTGTCCAGCTAAACTACCGTTGCTTTCCTTTTTAGACAAACTTGCTAGCAGAGATGGCTAATGTTTGTGTCTAGCATTTGTGTGTGTGTGTGTTCACTACTGCTCCATGCCCGTCTGGCTCCTGCCCCCCTCAGTCTCCAACCCTGCTCTCCTATAGCCATCGGCAATCTCAATGTACAAAGGATAGGAAATGCTTTAGCCTCAGCTCTATACCACTTGCTCTCACTATTAACAAGGCTCGCCCACTCCTAGAAACCGTCTTTCTTAGTTTTGTTGATCTGAAGAAAACTCCTGGTCTCACTAATTCTACCTGTCCTCCAAATCTTTGTGAGCATCAACCTCTTTGGAAAGTTTTCTTTTTCCTTATCAACCAGCATGAGTTTGGGAGCCTTCCACTGGGAGCCCTCCCCTTCCCTTTGCAATTGCCCATCCTAGCTACCTCTCACTGCAAGTTGGACTGCATGCCCATCAGCATGCCTAACACACAGTGGGCCACCAAGTATTTTCCTGAAAGAATACAGCCCCATGAAATGGCAAAGGCACATTTTGCAGCAATATTTTAAAACAGTTCTGAATATTTTAAAACATATCTGAACTCAGGGTCAGCAGGACTTATCCAGCCCCATCTCTACCTCTGGGAACCTGCCATTCTCAAGATGTCCTTGCCAGTGGGTAACCTGCAGAAATGGCAATGTCCTGTGGGTCCAACCCAATAACATGATTCACTCCATTAGTCATTGCCTTAAACTTTGGGTTATTCAAGTTTAATTCCAATAAAATAAGATATAGAATTAGGGCCTATGATGAGTTCCTAACAATGAAAAAAATAGGGCTGAAGTTTCATTTGTAGTTGTCTCTCCTGCGAGTCATGACCTGCTTGACTCACCAGCAAAAATAGAAATCCCTGTGGCCACAAGCTTGCGGGTTTTCAGGTCTTGCATCCACTGTAAGAAACACTTGATTCACGTTTTGAAATGGATTCTGGTTGAAATGCTGTGCCCTTTGGGAGGGTGACTTCCCCGACGTCCTCACGGCCCTCCCACCTCTACACTCTGCTCGCTTCCTTCCCCAGCCCTCATCCTTTCTCCCTGCCCCGGTGGCTCTGGTCCTGATGGCCGGGGAAGGAGCGACTGAGGTGCCGGAGGTGAGGACAGGGCAGGGCACATACCTCTGGCTCAGTGCTTCTGCAACTGTGACTGTGACGAAGGCAGCTTGACACGGGGCCTTGGACATTCACTGTTGTCCGAAGCGTACTCTTGCGCCTCCTCTGGCTCTTGTTCCTGCCCTTGGTCCCGGGCCCTCCTTCTCTCCAGCATCTCCTCAAAAAAGATCTGGCAGCTGAAGCCCTCTTGGATGCCATACTGGGCGTGCTTCAGCAGTGCCTCCAGCGTGGGGAAGACCCGGCAGCAGGCCACACACCGCAGCCCGTAGTTGGTGGTGACCAGCCAGTCTGGGGTGTCCCGCAGCTCCTGCAGGCAGCACTCCAGGGGCTCCAGCAGCTCCGTGTCCTCTGGCTCTGAGCTGGTGTTGTTCTTGCTGGCTTCCAGTTCCCAGCGCAGGTCCGTATTGGAAGCCATCTCAAAAGAGGAGCCTTTCCGCCTCTGCCTCTTGATGAACTCAGCTTCGTGGATGCGGGGCTGTCGGGTGACTGGCTCGAAGCCACTGTCAGTCTCCCAGGCCACAGCCACACCCTGCACGGTCTGCACGTGGGTGTAGAAGGCACACATGCTCTGCTGGGCAGCGTCCTGGTCCCCATAAGTGCAGGAATAGCAAGACTGGTACTGGGAGTAGGACTGGTACTCAGAGGATGACTGGGATGATGGCGAGCTGCTCCAGCTCAACATCCCCCGACCCCTGCCCGAGAAGTAGATGTTCTCTGCATGGGGAATGGCTGGGCCTGGCCGTGGAGACAGCTGCTCTCTCTTCACGGGCCCTGGGAAGTGGAAGGACATTTTTATCAGTGCCACAACCTACTTCAGGTCTCTGAAAGGATGCAAGCTCTGGGGGCCCCAGGCAGGCACTTTTTCTCTCCGTGCCTGTTTCCCCATAAATTAAGGATGATATATACTTTCTTTTTGGGGTGATGATAAGGATCAAATGTAGAGATGTAGCTGCGCCTTATGGACGTGATGACAAAGATCAAATAGTGTATGAATGTAATATCTAAGCCCTTGACTAAACCCCAAAGGGCCACCACCTGAATACAGACTGTGGGACAGCACAATCTTCTTCACTGATAAGAAGAAATGAACTACTGTTGCATGCCAAACATTGATGAGTCCCTAAGGCATTCTGCTAAATGAAAGAACTTACGGTGAAAAGGTCATAGAGTATTTGATTCCATTTAGATGACATTCTAGAAAAGGCAAAACTGTAGGGAGAGAGAACAGAACAGGGGTTACCTGGAGCTAAAGGCAGCAGGGGAACTGACTGCAAAGTGTCACTAGAACTTTTGGAGGCTGATGAACATATTCTGTGTTATGGTATTGATAGTGGTTAAACAAATGTGTACCTGCCAAAATTCTTCAAATTGTACACAAAACTGATGTGGTTTGTATATGAGAATCACAGCTCAATAAAGCCTAGCAGAGGGAGTGCTTTGGCCAGACCAGTCAACCCTACCTTCCCCTTGGCACCTGTGGGACATGTCTCATCTTCCTCCAGGGGAATCTCACACTTTCCTTGAAACCCTCATTGGATCCCATCACCATATATTCCTCCATGGACTCTGGGCTGGCCAGGCTGAGGGTGGACAGGTCCATGGGTGACTGTTCTCCCCTACGGTCTGAAAAGTGTTGCTTCATGATGACCCCAGTGCCTGGGGGCACACACCTCCAGCTGTTGGGCGAGAGTTGGCTCGGCCAGTGCTGAAGCCTCCGCTGGCCTCAGCCTGAGTGGCTGCTAGGTTCCTGTGGTCACTAGGCTCCTGGCTTTATTCTGTGACCTCATCAGTGACTTTGGTGTGTTCTGTGACCCGTGGCCAGGACAGAGCCCCAGCCAGGCTGCCAGGAGAGGCTCCCCATCAGGATCTCATTCCCTCCAGGACCGTCCCTGCTTTGTGTATTGTCAGAGATGCAGACATAAACTGCGCATGCACGCACGCACACACACACACACACGCACACACACACACACACATATAAACACATGTACATATACAGAGACACGAATGCCTAAAGATACACATGCAGACACTTATACACACGTGAATACACATACACTCATGCTGACACACATAATCACTCAGGCACACATACACTCAAACATACATAAACACACAGACATTCACACACACACACAAATTCAGACCATGTTCGCTTAACCGCACACATGCTCACATACATACGATCATCACCCAACATCAAAGTGGGCCTCCCTTGAGCTGTGGCGGCAGCAGGTGACCGAAATCTTGCCTCCTCCTCACTGCTTCAGAGTCCCCACCGCTGGCTCATGAGGGCTTTTGGCGCTCCGGGCCTGGGTACCCAGGTGCCTCCTCACGGCTCCCCGCTCTCTGCTTACCCTCGCTCAGGTCTAGGGACTCAGGCACACATCAGGGATGCTCCTGCCCCCGGGATTTGCATCTACCCTTCCTTCTGCCAGGAGTGCCCACCCCTAGGCCCCACATGGCTCACGCTTCTCTGCAGTCTCTGAAACAACTCCTGTCAGAACCTTCTGGAATCCATTCCCCTTAGACTCTATGATGTGTGCGTGTACAGTCATAACCACTTCCAAGCATTCATCTGCTGCTACTTAAATGTCAGCTCCATGAGGAGAGAGACATCATTCATTCATTTCCCCCATTATATCTCCAGAATCTAGTAGAATACATTGACACATTCACAAGGATTCCAGAGATTATTGTCAAATTAATGAATAAATAGTGGGCGAACATGTCGGATGTATTTGGATGGACCGACAAGGACGAGTCTGTCTAGAGGAGTTGCCTTCTCTCTGTACCTCAGGTCCCTGCAGCCCCAAGGCAAGCTGGTTCTCATCCCACAACTCTGAGTCCCCTCCTGCTTCTCCACCTGCACAAACCTCACTCCACACTCAGGCGCTCCGGCACTTCTTCCAGCTTGCCATCTCTCTCTGCTCCAGGAGGTCTTGAGCACACATCCCCCAAAACATTTCTCCTCATATCCCTCCAACCCCTGCTCAGTCTCACCAACTCAATTCCTCTGGATCCCAAATTCTCAACAGCTCAGAAGATGATTGGTTGAAAATTATCCCCAAAGCAACACAACCACCGCCAGTACAGACAGCGCCTGGGAATATTCTCTCCAAAACTAGAAACCACTATGTAAAGAAAAATGCCACAGAGCTTTACTGAGTGAAGGAGAGTCACACTTGCACCTATAAAGAGACAGAGCTCCCTGGCAGGAAGAGGAAACACTGTAAGGGTATTCTTTCTCCCTTAATAAATCAAGAGACTTGCCTTATAAAAATAAACAGTAAGAGCACAAAAATTAAATAGATCAATGGAAGACAAAGGTAGTCCAGAAAAAGATCACGTTATGTATTAATATTTGAATTTTTAAGAGATGAAGTAAATAAAGGTCTACGAGGAAAAAAAAGACTCGGTCAATAAATGACACTGAACATTTTTATTCACTTTTAAAAAAATCAACTTTGGCCTTACCTCATATAAAACAACTAAAACTAATATCATGTGACTCTGGGGTTACTTTCTAATGTAAAATATTTAGAAAGAAAATATAAATTAACTTTTGCTATTATAGGATGGCTTTTCAGTCAACATGAGCATTGAGAATCTTTTTAATTTCATTGCTTAAGAAAAAAACAAAAAACTCGCTGTTTCAGTTTCCACTTCTCTGCTTTTTAGTAAAACTGAAATGAATAGTTCAGCAAAGGAAATGAATAAGCAATCCCCAGGAGAAGGGCAGATGGCTGATAAACATATGAAAAGATGTTCAACCTAACTCTAGGAAGGAAACGACAAATTAAAAACACATGCTATATAGTATATTGTTTTCACCCACAAGGCAAACAAGAATTAAAAAGATTGACAGTTGTTAAGTGCTGGTGAGAACAAAATGAAATGAATATGTTTATATTCTACCTGTAAGTGCATGGCTTGCCTTTCTCAAGGGAAATTTGGTAGCACCCATTACAATGAAAAGCGGGCTCTTTCAACTCAGCAATTAACATCCCTTCCTGGGAAGCATTCACATTTTGTGCTAAGTGAATAAAATAGCACATCAAGAAATATTTATTACAGTAGTATTCATAATATAAAATAAAAAGAAACTTGTCAAAGATCCATCAACATAAAGCAGTAGTTAAATAAATTACACCATAACCAAATTGTGGTATACTATACTGCAATAAAGAGATCTACATGTATTAGTAAGTAAGTTCATGTTAAGTGAAAAAAGCAAGAGATAAGTGAATCCCACGTATGTAAAAACTAAACATGTAACCCCTCCCCACAAAACCCTAAACCAAGCCTATATTGTGTATGAATGTAGAGGCACAAAGGAAGCAGTCACATCCCAGTGGGAGCAGTGGTGACTTTAAGGAAAGTGAAGATTAGGTGCAGCTATGGGTGACTGGAGGTGTTTTCCCCACATGACCACATCAGTGCTCCCATCTTACATGCTCTTCTTAGAGTGTGAAACTGACAGTCCTCCATTGAGAGACAGAGTCCCTCTTCCTGAACCAGAGCAGACTTTGTAACAACCTCCAGCAACTGAATGCAGAGGGGTGATGCTTGGAGACTTTGCTAGGTCATAGAAAACAATATCACTTCCTCTGGGTTCTCTCTGTCTCTCTACTCTCCTCTGCACCCAGCTGCCGTGTTGTAAGGAAGCCTAGGCCACATGGAGGTGTTCCAGCCAACAGTTCTGGCAAAAATCCCAGCCAGCCACCAGACATGTGAATGAATATGCCATCAGATGATTCTGACTTCCAGCCTTTGAATCTTCCAACTGGTGTCCTAGACTTGTCAGGGCGGGGAAAAGCCACCACCTGTGAATTCGGCCATCTTCTGCCTGAATTCCTGACCCTCAGAAACTATGAGCAGCTTCACACACTAAGGTTTGGGGTGATCTGTTATTCAGCCATAGTAATTCACTAGACTGATTTTCCATGCGCTGTTGATGCATGTTCTGGTGAGACGGCTCGTTGAGCAGCAGCAGGACTACGGTGTACTGTCCTGGCCCAGCTGATCACTGTGGAAACCCCAGCACAACTTGGGAGGAAGGTTGCCATTTGGTTTCTAGTTGAAAACACCATTTTCCAAAGGTACTTGGGTCAGTTCCTTTATTGCCCCAGAATCTACATATGTTCCTTCTAACCCTCCCAATAGCCCCACCAGCGAGACACTATTAACTACATGTTACAGATGGAGGCTGGGACTCCAAGTACAGGTAGGAGACAGGAGGATGGACTGCTGACCCCTCAAGCCCAGAGGCAGTAGCAAGAGATAAGTGAATCCCACGTATGTAAAAACTAAACATGTAACCCCTCCCCACAAAACCCTAAACCAAGCCTATATTGTGTATGAATGTAGAGGCACAAAGGAAGCAGTCACATCCCAGTGGGAGCAGTGGTGACTTTAAGGAACGTGAAGATTAGGTGCAGCTATGGGTGACTGGAGGTGTTTTCCCCACATGGCCACATCAGTGCTCCCATCTTACATGCTCTTCTTAGAGTGTGAAACTGACAGTCCTCCATTGAGAGACAGAGTCCCTCTTCCTGAACCAGAGCAGACTTTGTAACAACCTCCAGCAACTGAATGCAGAGGGGTGATGCTTGGAGACTTTGCTAGGTCATAGAAAACAATATCACTTCCTCTGGGTTCTCTCTGTCTCTCTACTCTCCTCTGCACCCAGCTGCCGTGTTGTAAGGAAGCCTAGGCCACATGGAGGTGTTCCAGCCAACAGTTCTGGCAAAAATCCCAGCCAGCCACCAGACATGTGAATGAATATGCCATCAGATGATTCTGACTTCCAGCCTTTGAATCTTCCAACTGGTGTCCTAGACTTGTCAGGGCGGGGAAAAGCCACCACCTGTGAATTCGGCCATCTTCTGCCTGAATTCCTGACCCTCAGAAACTATGAGCAGCTTCACACACTAAGGTTTGGGGTGATCTGTTATTCAGCCATAGTAATTCACTAGACTGATTTTCCATGCGCTGTTGATGCATGTTCTGGTGAGACGGCTCGTTGAGCAGCAGCAGGACTACGGTGTCCTGTCCTGGCCCAGCTGATCACTGTGGAAACCCCAGCACAACTTGGGAGGAAGGTTGCCATTTGGTTTCTAGTTGAAAACACCATTTTCCAAAGGTACTTGGGTCAGTTCCTTTATTGCCCCAGAATCTACATATGTTCCTTCTAACCCTCCCAATAGCCCCACCAGCGAGACACTATTAACTACATGTTACAGATGGAGGCTGGGACTCCAAGTACAGGTAGGAGACAGGAGGATGGACTGCTGACCCCTCAAGCCCAGAGGCAGGGCGGCTTTGTCAGGCTGCCCGATGCTCTTCCCCTTGGTCTGCTTACCGGGGGCGAGGTGTGGTGGGGGGGATGCTTAGAGCAAAGCTGCACCAAAATGTGCCACTGTCCTTCCTTTTCACACGGGCTCTGAGCAGCGTCTGGCCATGGGAAGGCTCTCTGTCACAGCCTCATCTTCTGCTCCAAGTAGATACTTATCAGAGGCCACCCATACAGGGTTCCTGCCCTCCCTGAGCAGGGGGAGGGGGGAGAGTGGAAGGGGAGGATGGTAACAGATCAGGCCCACCCAGCCCCCTAATGTCCCAGCCCCCGCAGCTTTCCAGCTGGGTCTCCAACCTCGCCAAGAACTTCATGCTCCACCGCCAGAGCCGGCAGGGTTGGTGTGCAAAACCCCAGAAGGACCAACACAGCACTTTCTCGGAGCTCTGACTCCTGGCCAACTCATTTCACACATCACATGCAAGTCTTAAACCTCATCAAGAAGGCCTGGAAGATTTTCCAGTCTCCACTTTTCTTCCAAAACCTCCTCTTCTCAGCCCCCCTCCCTTTTCTTTCTCAGCTGAGAAGAAACTAACAGGAAGCGAAACAGCCACAGCCCCAGCAGGAAACAGAGACGCCACTTCTTGCTTCCCTTCACTTTTAACTCTAGAGATGGGCTTGTGCCACAATTTAGGCTACAGGGAGAATCGGATCATTCATCCTGAGCCATTGAGCCTCCAGAAATAGCCTGTCCACTTGGCCAAGGAGCCTGACGTTCCCCGGGGTGGTGTACAGGACGCAACATTTCTGAGGCTGAGCCCATCGCTGTAAGTGTTTTAAGTGGACAACACTCCTCTCTTCAACTAGAAATTAGGGCCACCTTGTCACTGCCCCTCTCAAAAAACTTCTATTGTCAGACTGAACACTGAGGGAGGCAGGGAAGTGGTGAGTTGCCTTAGACGCTGCTTGCTAGGTATAGGGCAGGCTCCAGACTGGGAGTTCATTCCAGTGAAAGCCAATTTCCCAGGAATTGTTTATGACCTTAGCCTGTGCTAATGCTGCAGAGAAAGTGCCAGAAGATAAGCTGAGGATCAGAGTAGAGAAGTATCATCTTTTGAGGTCATTTTCTGTTGCTTCTTGTCACTATTTAAAAAGAAGTGAGTCAGTGGACCACGTAAGGAAAAACTCAGCCACAGAGAAATGTGATATGAAGAGTTCTCCCTCAGCCTCCCCAAGTGAATGGGGAAGGGACTTTTGCTTTTGTTTTCCTTCAGACTTAATAACAGGCTGCTGCTTCTCTGTGGTTTGTTTGGAGCTGTTTCCAGGTTTTGACCTTAACCTCAGGGCGCCCACACAAATAGCCTAGGACTCCTCTGTCATTAGGCAGCAGGGAGGGGCACACCCGTGTGGGCCTCTCAGGCACATCCCT